TGCTCGGACGGGCCGTCACCTGGCTACCTTCACTCGGCAGCCGGGGTCGGACCTGTACACACTGACCACTGAGTCCCCTCAGGTAGCTGCGTCCGCGTCTGCGTCTGCGTCAGGTCAGCTGTCCGCCCCCTGCTCGTGTCGCTCTCTGGCGCATGAGACTGTCCTCTGGCATCACCGCCTTGGTCACCCGTCTGTGCAGCGCCTTCGGGCCATGCACAAACGGGACCTTGTTGCTGGTCTTCCCAGGGTTCTCCCTCCCCTACCACCCTCGCCTGCTCCTCCCTGTCTTCCCTGTGTCGAGGGGCGGCAGCGCGCCGCTCCTCACTCCTCCTCCTTCCCCCCGATGACTGCTCCTTTGCAGACGCTCCACCTGGACGTGTGGGGCCCAGCCCGCGTCCGTGGTCAGGGTCAGGAGAGGTACTTCCTGATAGTTGTTGACGACTACTCGCGCTACACCACGGTCTTCCCCTTGCGCACCAAGGGTGACGTCCCTGATGTCTTGATCCCTTGGATCCGCAGATCTCGTCTCCAGCTCAGTGAGCGTTTCCACTCCGACTTCCCTGTCCTGCGTCTGCACTCTGACAGAGGTGGGGAGTTTTCCTCTGGCCTCTTGGAGGCCTTCTGTCAGCAGGAGGGCATTGAGCAGTCGTTCACGCTTCCGGCCTCTCCACAGTAGAATGGGGTTGCTGAGCGCCGCATTGGCTTGGTCATGGAGGTCGCTCATACCTCCTTGGTTCATGCGGCTGCCCCCCACTTTCTGTGGCCGTTTGCAGTCCGATACGCTGCGCATCAGCTCAACCTCTGGCCACGTGTCTCCTTACCGGAGACTTCTCCGACACTGCGTTGGACGGGAGAGGCTGGCGATGCGTCGCGTTTTCGGGTCTGGGGATCTCGAGCTTTTGTTCGCGATACGTCCGCGGACAAGCTCTCCCGTCGAGCTGTCCCCTGTGTCTTCCTTGGCTTTGTCCCGGACGCGCCTGGTTGGCAGTTCTACCACGCCACCTCGCGTCGTGTCCTGGCCTCTCAGGACGTCACTTTTGACGAGTCCGTCCCCTACTACCGCCTCTTCCCCTACCGCACTGCCCCGCTCCCCCCCCGCCTCTCTTCCTCGCTCCAGGTGCTGAGGTACCAGACCCCCTCCCCCCTCAGGGTGCCGCTCCCTCAGGTGTGTCCCAGGTAGACCCGGTTGAGCCTGTCGAGGTAGCTGTTGACTCTCGTCCTGCTGGGGGTGCTGAGCCTGACCGTGAGGAGTCTGAGGGTACTGAGCCTGGGGGTGCGGAGCCTGGGGGTGCGGAGCCTGGAGGTACGGAGCCTGGAGGTGCGGAGCCTGGGGGTGCTGAGCCTGGGGGTGCTGAGTCTGGGGGTGCTGAGCCTGGAGGTACTGAGCCTGGGGGTGCTGAGCCTGGGGGTGCTGAGTCTGGGGGTGCTGAGCCTGAGCGTGCTACACCTGGAGGAGCCCTCTCCTCCCGGCAGCTGCAGGAGAGGTACCTACAGTACTGCCGCCTCCGGAGAGGTGCTACTGGAGCTCGTACCAGTACTTCCCCTCCTGCCCAGGAGCTCCCCCCCATTCAGCAGATCCGAGAGTGGTACACGCGGCGCTGCAGTCTTCGGAGTGGTGCTCCTGGTGCTGCAGACCCTGGGGGTGGCGCTGCTACTGGTGCTGAGGACCCGGGCGTTGGAGCTGCTGCTGGTGCTGCGGACCCGAGCGGTGGCGCTGCTGCTGGAGCTGAGGACCCGGACGGTGGAGCTGCTGCTGGTGCTGAGGACCCGAGCGGTGACGCTGCTGCTGGTGCTGAGGACCCGGGCGTTGGAGCTACTGCTGGAGCTGAGCACCCGGACGGTGGAGCTGCTGCTGGTGCTGAGGACCCGAGCGGTGGAGCTGCTGCTGGTGCTGAGGACCCGGACGTTGGAGCTGCTGCTGGTGCTGAGGACCCTGCCGCTGGTGTCTCTGCTGGTTCTGGAGACGCTACGCGGCCGCGACCGTACTTCGTACCACTTCTTCAGCAGGTTCTTGGTCAGGCTCCTCCTCCTTGTCCTCCTCCCTCCGTAGAGTGTCCTCCGCCTGTCCAGTTGCAGTCACAGTTCCCGCCTGCCTCGCCTCTCCCTGCTCCCTCTCCTTACACTGGTCCCACAGGAGGTCTTACAGAGCGTCGTGAGCCTGAGTCTCGTCCTGCGTCGCCTGTTCGTACTGCTCGCACTGGTCGTCGTGTCCTACGTGAGCGTCCTCCTCCTGTCCCTGGCACTCACTACATGACTCTGCGTCCCTCCACTGCTCCTCAGCGTGTTCCGCTGCCGTCTCCTCCTGCGTCCTCTCTGCCTACTCTTCCTGATCCGGAGTCTGACTCCCGTCGTGCTGCCAGTCCCACTGTCACCCGTCTCCTCGCTACTGTTGTCACTGACCCTACCTTTGAGTCCTCTGCTGCGTCTGCTCTGGTCGCTGAGTTGATAGACTTTGCTGCCCGGTGTCGTCTAGACTACGCCACTAGCCTTGTTGCTGAGTCTGAGTCTGAGTCTGTCTGTCCTCCGTCCGTCGGGGGTGAGTGTGCTCTTGGCACGGACGTCCTTGAGGACAGACAGGAGGAGTTCAGTGCCTTGCTGCTGCTTTACCCCACCTCGTGTCCATGCTAGTTGCCCCTGAGGGAGACCCGGATGCACCAGACATCCCGACCCCGCGCACTTACGCTGAGGCGATGGCGGGTCCCTACTCCTCTCAGTGGCAGACAGCCATGGACGCAGAGATGGCTTCCTGGAAGTCCACACGCACCTACATCGACGAGGTTCCCCCACCTGGGGCGAACATCGTCAGTGGCATGTGGATTTTCAGGGTGAAGCGGCCATTGGGTTCTCCTCCGGTCTTCAAGGCGCGCTACGTGGCTCGAGGCTTCAGTCAGCGAGAGGGAGTTGACTTCTTCCAGACCTTCTCCCCCACCCCGAAGATGACCACTCTTCGGGTGCTGCTGCACATAGCTGCTCAGCGCGACTACGAGCTTCACTCGCTTGACTTCAGCACTGCTTTCTTGCAGGGCAGCCTGCACAAGGAGATCTGGCTGCGCCGCCCTCCTGGCTTCACTGGGTCGGTTCCTCCTGGTACCCAGTGGAGGCTTCAGCGGCCGGTCTACGGTCTCCGCCAGGCACCACGTGAGTGGCACGACACACTGAGGACGACACTTGCGGCTCTTGGGTTCGCTCCCTCTACTGCTGACCCGTCACTGTTTCTACGCACAGACACCTCACTGCCGCCGTTCTACATCCTCGTGTACGTCGACGACTTGGTCTTTGCCACTGCTGACACCGCGGCACTCGCCCACGTGAAGTCGGAGCTGCAGAGGAGACACACGTGCACAGACCTGGGTGAACTGACAAGCTATCTTGGCTTGCGGATCACCCGGGACAGAGCACGGCGCACCATCACCTTGACTCAGTCACACATGGTGCAGCAGATCCTTCAGCGCTTCCGCTTCACGTACTCCTCGCCTCAGTCCACTCCTCTGCCTACCGGTCACTCGCTCTCAGCTCTGCCTTCGGATGAGTCCGTAGAGCCGAGTGGCCCGTATCCAGAGCTTGTGGGCTGCCTCATGTACCTGATGACCTGCACTCGACCTGACCTTGCATACCCTCTTAGCATCCTTGCGCGCTATGTCGCTCCTGGCCGTCACAGGAAGGAGCACATGGATGCCGCTAAGAGGGTGTTGCGCTACTTGTGCAGTACGTCGGGCATGGGGCTAGTGCTTGGAGGGCGAGACCGAGTTGTACTTACTGGACACTCAGACGCTTCTTGGGCGGACGACCAGGCTACTCAGCGGTCGTCTCAGGGTTACACCTTCAGCCTTGGCTCCAGCTCAGTTTCTTGGCGTTCTACACGCTCTTCTTCTGTTCTCAGCTCCAGTTGTGAGGCTGAGATCTACGCCACAGCCATGGCTGCCCAGGAGCTACGCTGGCTGACCTACCTGCTGACCGACTTGGGAGAGCGGCCTCGTTCTCCTCCAGTACTGTACGTCGACAACCAGGCTGCCATTGCCTTGTGTGAGGAGCACAGACTGGAGCACAGAACGAAGCACATCGCCCTGCGGTACTTCCTTGCTCGAGAGCTGCAGCAGCGTGGTCAGCTTCGTCTGCGTTACGTGGCCACTGAGGCCAACCTTGCTGATGTGTTCACCAAGGCGCTTCAGCCTTGTGATCATCAGCGTTTCTGTACTCTTCTAGGCCTTGTGCCTGCTGGACCTCACTTGCTTACTTCTTGACTCTGCTTGTACTGTGATCTTTATATATATGCCTGCATGTTTACACTTGCTAGGTTGTTATCACTGTTTCTCTTGTTATATTATCAACCTGCATGTGAACTGGTCTTGTGACCACTTGCTTGTGCTCGGAATTTGTGTGGTATCCTTGAGATCCACCCTGAGCTTGTTTTGCTTTGCTTTGACTGGTCTTGTGACCCCTTGTTCTCCCCCACTTTGCCTATGGGGGTGTGTCAAACATTATATGTGTTGTGCTTGTTTAGGCTGCAGTGGGTTAGCCTATAGGGGGTACACAATTCTAGGGTTAGGTACTTGTACTCATTTCACTGCTAGTTCATTCATTCCTCGTTCAGTTATTCTGACACTCCTTAGCACTAGCAAGGACGATGCCTCGCTGTTCGATTACACCTCTGGTGCCCTAGCCGCTCCTGCTGATACAGCCGATTGTAGCGAGCGCTCCCAGTGGCTTACACGCGACGCTGCCACCCGTCTAGCCATTCGCAACCACTTGCCGCTAACCGAGCTCAAGCACTTTGGCGAGCAGAAAACCGCTAAGGCCTTGTATGACGCTGTAGTCACTCGCTACTCCTCGCCTTCCACTGCAGCACTTCCTCGCCTCATGCTGCTGTACCTGTTCCCCGACCTGTCGAGCTTTGCCACTGTAGCAGATCTCATTACCCACCTGTGCACTAGTGACGCTCGTGTTCGTGCCACCCTCCCCAAGGACTTTGTTGCTAAGAACCCCCCCCCCCCCCCCCCCCGATGTATTGGACGCTGCACTTTCTAGTCACCCGCCTCCCTGACTCTCTGCGCTCGGTCAGGGATCACTTCCTAGCGCGCTGTCCTTCCGACCTCACCATAGACCTCCTAGAGGAGCAGCTTTTGACCGCTGAGAGCAGCATAGTCAGTGTAGGTGCTGCTCGCGGCGCTCCTCGCACCCCCATCTTTGAGGGGTGCTCTCCTTCCCCTCTCGCTCCCTCCTTCGCTATTGCTGCTGCTGTAGACTTCCTTGGAGCCGACTCCGTTGGCGCTGCCTCCATTTCTAGCGGGCGGCGCCGCAGCGGCAAGGGCAAGGGAGGCAAGGGCGGTGGTGGCAGCGGCGGAGGAGGAGGAGGTGGAGGAGGTGGGGGTAGTGGTGGGGGTGGTGGCGGCGGTGGTGGAGGTGCTGGTGGGCGTGGCAGCGGCGGAGGGGGTGGTGGTGGTGGTGGCGGCGGTGGAGGTAGTGGTGGTCGAGGAGGTGGCGGCGGCGGTGGTGGTAGCGGAGGCGGTGGTGTTGGCGGTGGTGGCGGAGGCTCCCGTGGTGGGGGCTCTGGTCAGCGCTCGCAGCAGCAGCGGTCCCTCACGCCTCAGGAGCTTCGTGAGTGGTTAGTGCAGAGGGGTACGTCTGGGGGTGTTAGCTGTCCGTATGTAATTCGCATTGGCCCCCGTGCTGGTCAGACATGCGGCAAGGCCCATACCCAGCAGCGCTGCTTCTCTAGGCTTGACGACGCCTGGCGTGCTGAGATGGGCGAGGAGGTAGAGACCCCTCGCTGGTACGATCTGCTTAAGAAGGGTGTAGACATCTTTGCTCTTGATTATGATGCTATTATCTCTGCCATGTATGCATTGACTATTAGTGCTGAGGGTGACTGCTACCTATGTCTGCCGCCTGATCCAGGTATAGAGTCTTCTGCTCGTGGTGCTTGCGAGTTTGCCTCCTCAGGTGCTGCGTCTACTGCCTTAGGTGCGAGCGAGTCTGCCCTGTCCGATACTGAGTCCCCTACTGCCCTACACACCTTCACTCTTGACTCAGGTGCTTCCTGGTGTTTCTTCCGTGACAGCAAAGCCCTCACACCGCTCCCTGCACCTGTTGCTGTTTCACTGGCTGACCCCTCAGGGGGCCCAGTCCTTGCACGGTCCTCCACTGTGCTTCCTTGCCCAGCATTCCCGTCCGGTGAGCTGTCAGGTCTCCACCTCCCCTCATTCTCTACGAACTTGGTGAGCTGCGCTGCCCTTCAGGACAGTGGGGTTCATACCTTCACCCCTACATAACAGCGTGTGGCGATCTGCACGTGTGCACGGACTGGCCGTCACCTGGCCACGTTCACCCGTCGGCCAGGGTCGAGTCTTTACACCCTTACTACTGCGCCGCCCCAGGTAGCTGCCACTGGTCAGGTGTCTGCCCCAGGTCAGGTACCTCCCCCTGTGAGTGTCGCTCCCTGTCGCACCAGACCCTTCTCTGGCACCACCGTCTCGGCCACCCCTCCCTGCCCTGCCTTCGTGCCATGCACCGTCGTGTCCTTGTGTCTGGCCATTTTTCCTTGTCCTTGTGTCTGGCCTGCCTCCCCTTCCTCCTTCGCCTGCTCCTGCCTGCCTTCCTTGCGTCGAGGGGCGGCAGCGCGCCGCTCCTCACTCCTCCTCGTTTCCTCCCACAGAGGCTCCCCTGCAGACGCTCCACATGGACGTGTGGGGCCCAGCCCGCGTCAGTGGACAGGGTGGCGAGCGGTACTTCCTGATAGTTGTTGACGACTACTCACGCTACACCACGGTCTTTCCCTTGCGCACCAAGGGTCAGGTCCCGTTGGTGCTGATCCCTTGGATCCGAGTCGTGCGTCTTCAGCTCCGCAGGAGGTTCTGCACCGACCTCCCTGTTCTGCGTCTGCACTCTGACCGAGGCGGGGAGTTTGCTTCCGACTCCCTGCGTGACTTCTGTCAGGAGGAGGGCATCACCCAGTCGTTCACGCTTCCGGGCTCACCACAGCAAAATGGGGTTGCTGAGCGCCGCATTGGCTTGATCATGGAGGTTGCTCGTACCTCCATGATCCATGCGGCGGCTCCCCATTTTCTGTGGCCGTTTGCGGTCCGGTACGCCGCGCAGCAGCTCAACCTCTGGCCCCGTGTCTCCGTGCCGGAGACCTCGCCTACACTGCGTTGGACGGGGGAGGTTGGTGACGCGTCGGCGTTCCGGGTCTGAGGTGCCCGTGCTCTTGTTCGCGATCAGTCCGCGGACAAGCCCCTTCTACCGTCTCTTCCCCTACCGCACTGCCCCGCTCCCTCCCCCGCCGCTCTTCCTCGCACCAGGTCCCCCCCGGTAGACCCCCTCCCCCCTCAGGGTCCTGCTCCTTCAGGTGTGTCTCAGGTAGACCCCCCCACTTTGGCTGAGCCGGTAGAGATCTCTAGTGACTCAGGTGCTGCTGAGGGTGGTCCTGCTCGAGGTGCTGCGGCTGGAGGTGCTGAGCCTGTTCGTGAGGTACTGGAGCGTTCGGGGTCGGAGGGTGCTGAGCCTGTGCGTGAGGTACTGGAACGTGTGGAGTCGGAGGGTACTGAGCCTGTGCGACAGGTACTGGGCCGTGCGGAGTTCGAGGGAGCTCGACAGGTGTCCCGCCGGGCCCTTACCTCGGCGGAGCTGCGAGAGTGGTTTGCTGTGCGGCAGCGTCTGAGGAGGCGTCCTGGAGCCAGCGGTGCTACTGTTGGAGCTGGAGGCACTCGTGCTTCCGACACCACAGGCCTTGGAGGTGCTCGTACCGGAGGTACTCGAGCTGCCGAGGCCGGTGGTGTTGGAGGAGGTACTGCTAGAGACCCTGGTACTGGAGGTCCCGGGTCTGGGGGTGCTGCTGGAGAGAGTACGCTCTCGCCGAGCCAGTTACGCGAGTGGTACACGGAGCGCTTCCGCCTTCCGAGTGTTGGCACTGGAGCTGGTGGTGCAGGAGGACATGGAGCTGCTGGACCTGGAGGTGCTCGTGCTGGAGGTGCTGGAGCTGCCGGGTCTGGTAGTACTGCTGACACTGGTGGTACTGGCACTGCCAGCCCCGGAGGTGCTCGTACCGACGGCACTGGAGCTGCTCGTCCTGGAGACCCTGGTCCTGGTTCTGGGGGTGCTGCTGCTGGAGGTGCTGGAGCTGGTGACTCTGGTGCTGGGGGTGCTGCTGCTGGAGGTACTGGAGCTGGTGACTCTGGTGCTGGGGGTGCTGCTACAGGAGGTGCTGGAGCTGGTGACTCTGGTGCTGGGGGTGCTGTTGCTGGAGGTGCTGGAGCTGGTGACTCTGGTGCTGGGGGTGCTGCAACTGGAGGTGCTGGAGCTGCTGACTCTGGTGCTGGAGGTGCTGCTGCTGCTCCTGGAGGAGCTGCTGCTGGAGGTGTTGGTGCTGGAGGTTCAGCACCGACGCGACTGTTCTTCTCTCCGCCGACACCTTCGCGTCTGCCGCCTCCTGACACGGCACTCGGTCAGGTGCTTAGCCTTCCGTCTTCTACTGGCTTACCGTTACAGCCCGGCTCCCCACTGCCCGCTCCTCCCCCTCGTTACACTGAGCAGCCAGCCTCCCTTACAGAGCGTCGTGAGCCTACGTCTCGTCCTGTCTCGCCTGTTCGCACTGTTCGCACTGGTCGCACTGGTCGCACTAGTCGTCAGCGTCCCCCTCCCGTCCCTGGCACTCACGCCATAGGGCTTCGTCTCTCTTCTGCTCCGCAGCGTGTCCCTCTGCCGTCTCCTCCTGCGTCCTCTCTTCCTGAGGTCCCCGACCCTGCGTCGGACCTGCGTCGCGCTGCCAGTCCCACGGTCACGCGTCTTCTTGCCACTGTCGTCACTGACCCTTCCTTTGAGTCTACTGCTACGTCTGCTTTAGTTGCGGAGCTGGTTGACTTTGCTGCTCGCTGTCGTCTCGACTACGCTGCTAGTCTTGTTGCTGAGTCTGAGTCTGCGTTTGCGTCTGTCTGTCCTCCGTCCGTCGGGGGTGAGTGTGCTCTTAGCACGGACGTCCTTGAGGACAGGCAGGAGGACTTTGAGTGTCTTGCGGCTGCTGTACCTCATCTCGTGGCCATGCTGCTTGCCCCTGAGGGAGACCCGGATGCACTGGACATCCCGACCCCGCGCTCTTACGCAGAGGCGATCACGGGTCCTTACTCCTCTCAGTGGCAGACAGCCATGGACGCAGAGATGGCATCCTGGAAGTCCACAGGCACCTACGTCGACGAGGTTCCCCCTCCTGGGGCGAACATTGTCGATGGCATGTGGATTTTCAGGGTGAAGCGGCCGCCGGGTTCTCCGCCTGTCTTCAAGGCTCGTTACGTTGCCAGAGGCTTCAGTCAGCGTGAGGGAGTTGACTTCTTCCAGACCTTCTCCCCTACCCTGAAGATGACCACTCTTCGGGTACTACTGCACGTTGCCGCTCAGCGTGACTACGAGCTTCACTCCCTTGACTTCAGCACAACTTTTTTACAGGGCAGCCTGCACGAGGAGATCTGGCTGCGCCGTCCACCTGGCTTCACTGGGTCGTTCCCTCCTGGTACCCAGTGGAGCCTCCGACGGCCAGTCTACGGTCTCCGCCAGGCGCCTCGTGAGTGGCACGACACACTGAGGACGACACTTGCGGCTCTTGGGTTTGCTCCCTCCACTGCTGACCCGTCGCTGTTTCTACGCACCGACACTTCGTTGCCGCCGTTCTACATCCTCGTATACGTCGACCACCTCGTCTTTGCCACTGCTGACACTGAGGCACTCGCCTTTGTGAAGTCGGAGCTGCAGAAGCGACACACGTGCACTGATCTGGGTGAGCTCCGCAGTTACCTCGGCTTGCAGATCACCCGGGACAGAGCACGCCGCACCATTACCTTGACTCAGTCACACATGGTGCAGCAGGTCCTTCAGCGCTTCGGCTTCACCTGGTCCTCGCCACAGTCCACTCCTATGGCTACGGGTCACTCGCTCTCAGCTCTGCCTTCAGATGAGTCCGTAGAGCCGAGTGGCCCGTATCCAGAGCTTGTGGGCTGCCTCATGTACCTGATGACTTGCACTCGTCCTGACCTTCGTACCCACTTAGCATCCTTGCTCGTTACGTTGCGCCTGGGAGACACCGGCGAGAGCACTGGGAGGCTGCTAAGAGGGTACTACGCTACTTGTGCAGTACATCAAGCATGGGGCTTGTGCTTGGAGGACGGGGCGACGTTGTCCTCACTTGACACTCTGACGCGTCCTGGGCTGACGACTTGGCTACGCAGCGGTCGTCACAGGGTTACACTTTCAGCCTTGGCTCTGGTTCTGTTTCGTGGCGGTCTACACGCTCGTCGTCTGTTTTCAGCTCCAGTTGTGAGGCTGAGATCTACGCCACAGCCATGGCTGCACAGGAGTTGCGTTGGCTCACCTACCTGCTGACCGACTTGGGAGAGAGGCCTCGTTCTCCTCCAGTGCTGTACGTAGACAACAAGGCTGCCATTACCTTGTGTCAGGAGCACAGACTGGAGCACAGAACGAAGCACATTGCCCTGCGCTACTTTCTGGAGAGAGAGCTGCAGCAGCGTGGCCAGCTTCGTGTGACTCACGTGGCCACTCGGGCCAACACTGCTGATGTGTTCACCAAGGCACTTCCGCCTAGTGACCATCAGCGTTTTTGCACTGCTCTAGGCCTTGTGCCTCACTTTTCTCACCTGCTTACTTCTTGACTTTGTTTGTACTGTTGTCTGTATTATATACCTGCATGCCTACTCTTGTTAGGTAGAGATCACTGTACTGGTTGTGATTGCATATATATTTCTGCTTGTGAACTGGCCTTGCGGCCCTTTGCTTGTGCTCAGACTGTGTGGTGACTTTGTGATCCACCCTGAGCTTGTTTTGCCTTTCTTGACTGGTCTTGTGACCCCTTGTTCTCCCCCACTTTGCCTATGGGGGTGTGTCAAACTTGTACAGCTTAGGCTATTTGTCTAGGCTGTAGTGGGGTTGACCATAGGGGGTACAGCTTTTAGGGTTGACATATTTGTACCCAACATTCTCATTAGTTCACCATTCCTGCCTTAGATTCTGAGAACCCGCTCTATACCATGTGAAATAGAGAGAAAGGGCAAGGAATGGTGACTAAGGAAAAGTGTTGGGTACAAATATGAACCCTAAAAGCTATACCCCTCTATGGTCAACCCCACTACAGCCTAGACAAATAGCCTAAGCTATACAAGTTTGACAGCTTTTTCCTATGAGAAGACACCCCCCTTTTTTTCCCTGTATTTTTAAATCTACCCTAGGGTGTTATGTCCGGGAGAATACGGTAAAAGTTTGACCCCTAAGACAAACCTCACTACAGGCTACAACATTTGACAGGAGGGGTTGATGTGCAGGGGACTAAGGCCCTAGAATCAGACACTCACTGAGCGGAGCAGTATTCTTAAGTGTGAATGCCAATGCTCTAATCTGAGTGTGATGCGATGCTAACTCACGAACGAACAATGTACTAATGCTTAACATGTAATAAAAGGCTATCACTCATCAGAAATTATTCCGCTGTTTTGTCTGATACATCACACCTAGACGAAATTTTCATATCTACTGATGGATCAGACAGGCCCGCAGGGCCCGCCTGATGCATCAGGTGGCCTCAAAAGCTAGGGAGAGCCCTGGCTGACACACTCTTCTGTGTTGGAAACAGTGAATCTTAAGCGCTTCAGTCGTGTCGAAACATCGCACCAGAAGCGAAGCAAGCTGTATCGAAACAAACGCGAGTCAACCTTCGGAGGTTGAGAAGTTGCCGGAGGTTACGCGAAAGTCAAAGGTCAAGCGACCTTTGACCTGACAAATACAGCGCGACAGTTAAGGACACACAACTGACTCGTTACAGAGCAGTTGCCCGAGTCGTACTGTATCGAACCGCAACAGCAACAGTAAAGTAGTTACAAACTGCATCCTTTCATATTCCTTGTATTATTATATAATCTTGTACTTCCTTGCTATAATCAATCTACTTTGCCCTCATATACCAGCGCAAGGTGGTTCACAAACTTTGTTAAACGCTTCCGCTATTACAACACTATCCCACCCAGAGTTCTCCCTTGAAAAGATCCTAAGGGGCTATCTCAGCCCAACATGGTATGAGAGCAAACAGGGGAAACTCTACTACCTTCAAATCATTACAAGACATGGCAACAAGCAAGGAAAGGAGCTCATCTAACGGCTCCCCAGGCACTACTCCTACTCCACCTCCTGCCTCTGGCCTG